GATTTTTTAAATTTTATGATGAATTTAATTTTGAAGATCATGGTATTTCCGTTAGGGGAAATCAAATTTACGAAAGACAAGAGCCTAAAGAAAAAGCTATGGAAATAGAAGAACCCTTTAGTAGAGCCAACGCCACGCAATCAATCACAAAAGCAGGACTACTTAGAATTAAATTATCTTTAAGTTTTACTTGGCAACAAATAAAAGTGAACAAGCTATTAAAAGAAGACTTAGCAGAACTGTTAGGAGTTCGGGGAAAAAAAGCAGGACCGTTAGGGGAACCAGCTTCAAAAATTGATGTAAATTTTAATAAAGAAATTATAACTCAAACTATAATTAAGGAGATGGATGTGGATATTGAACCTACACCGGATGAAATATTATTGAGTAAAGAGGAATTGGAACATATTGAAACACAATTGAGCAAAGAAACTGAGGAAAAAAGAAAAGGTAATAAAAACAATTTGTTAGGAAAATTTAAAAAGAAAAGAATACCTAAGGCATTATCGGCATTAGGAAAATTTGCATATCTTAGTATTACAGTGATTTTGTGGTTGTGTTTAAATACCGCAGTGAACACTACACCTATGATCTGTCCAAAAAATTCTCACTCAAAAATTGTTAAATTTCAAAGGGGAGGATCTTCGTGCAAGACTATGACTAATTTTTTAACACTCGATTATAAAATTATGAACATAGATATTTACAAACCTAACGAGGCTTTATTTAGTTTTAAAGCATATAAATGTGTTAAATTAGGACAAACAGCGCAGTTCAGAGTTGATTTTTTGGGTTATGAACACATAAAACCTATAATACAAACTGTATATCCCATATCGGTTGAAGAGTGTTGGGACATGATTAAATATAAGACATGTGCGTTTGGGCACTTACAGATAACTGACATTGAAAATAATCAAGCTCACACAAATAATAAGTTAGAGATTGAACCGAGTTATTGGAAATTAGGATGGGACAGTGCGGAGGCATATAATTGTTTTTTATCGCAAATACCAATGATAGGTAAACCAGGGAGAATAAAATTAGAAAGTCCTATAGAGGATATGGTAAAATGTGACTATGAACAAGAACATTGTAAGTTGGAGAGTGGAGCCATGGTTGTGTGGAGCCTAAAAGAAATAAGAGAAGTTATAGGACGAAACCCGCAATGTTCATACGTGAAAATGACTACACAATCTGGTAATTACACAAAAGGAGTCTGGTTATCTCAAGATAACCAAAGATCACTTGTTTTCGAAGATAATTCTCAACCGGTGTACTCTTGTCAACAACCTTTAGTAATTAGTTTGTCTGGATTTGCTGTACCATTACATCAATATGAATTATTAATGAAAGTTCCTAACCATGAGAATAGAAAGAAAAGAAATTCGGAAGTAACGGTACAAGAATTAATAGCACACTTGCAAGCTGAAGCTTTATATCAAAATAAGGACCTTAAAAATTTGTTAAAGACGATAATAGATCTCATGTGTCACAATATAGATAAGGACATTAGAGGAGATGTAATTAATAACAAAGATCCAACTCTTTTTATAAGAGAAAATTTAGGATCAGAATTTCTAGAAGGAAGATGGATAGCGAAAAATTACTTAGAATATTGGTATTGTTCACCCGTAAATTTCACTTGGACCAATAGTATAACGAGTAATTGTTATAAAGATATTCCTCTGAATATCAGTATAGATCAATTAGGAAAGGAATGGATCAAAGGATATATTAATCCTGTTACTCATATATTTTCAGAAAATTCGGCGTTAGGGCCATGTAATGAATTTCAATATATTAGTACAAAAATTAATGAAAAAATAATTACCATAAATCAGTTAACTGGTCAAGTTATGCAGATAAGAAATATAGAAATAAAGAATATAAATAATAATATATGGGAAAGTAAATTGCCAGAATTTTCATTGCAAATATTTAGACAAAATGCGATTACTAATTTTTCGGATAAACAATTAGATATGTTAGAAATTATGCAAGCCTTCAGAAATACGAGAATGATTGATAACCGTCCGTTAGGAGACCAAAAAGCTATTTTTAACAAGTATAGCCAAAGATATACACCCTCAATTTTTGATTGGTTCAAGGAGATAAATTTTTGGGAATTGTGGTTTAAAGTTATTACTATTATAGTAGCACTAAAATGGGCCTGGAAGTTATATAACTATTATTATAGACGGATAGTTAAAAAAGAAATTAAAAATATTTTAATTTCTAAATTTCAGGCGGAGAGGATATCGAAAGTGGAAATGGAAGAAATTAGAGATGAGAAAAAGATAACTAGAGATGAAAGAAGGTGGTGAGAAAAGAACACAAGACCGTTGGGGGTCAAGGATGAATTACTCTTTGCTATATTTAAGATTAGCTTTTCCTTCATTCTTTGTCACTTTATTCACTTAATTCTTTTTATTGAAAAACTTTATCCTTTTTAAATATTTTTGTAATTGTTTTATTGAATAAAATATTTATTTAATTTCTGTTTATTATTTATTAATAATAAATCTATTTAATTAATTTACACTTAAATTAATTAAATATAATTCATTATCAATAGACAACTTTGAATTAGATTGTTCTTTTGATAAATAAATAAAAATATTTAGTTTGGTTTTAATACAAAATAAAAACTTATTTTAATAAATATTAATGTTAAGAAAAATTTAAAAAAGCTTTATCAAAAATAAATTTAAAAGAATTTCAACTAAAAATAGAAACAAAATTTTAATTGTCTATCAATTGGATGTCTATTAAAATTATAAAAATAAATATTATTTTTAAAAATATTTCTCTAATCGAGTAATAATAAATCATTTTGTGGCAAATAAAATGTTTGAATATTATTTCTATCATTTTTCAACATTTTTGGAATTCTTTCACGAATTTCTTCTGAAAATTTATCAACTTTAATAGATTCATTTAATTCGTCAGTTTCTTCCATTTCTATTCCAACTAACCAAAATTTACATATTGAACCACTAAAAATTAATTAATTATAATTTAGTTGTTTAAAAATTAAAATTATTAAATTTGGAAATAGAAGTACCAAATTATTTTCAAAAACTCGAAACTGTTTCCGAAATACAGTCGGATCAAGCTTTTACATACATCCAAAATTCAATGAACCCTCGGTTTTACTTAAATTTGTTCATTCCCGAGGGTATATATAGAATCGAGATCCAACTGAAAAAATATGGGCGGTTGTGAAAAAGTTGGGTCGTATATCAGATCCCGTTTTCAAAATTATATTTGGATTTGGGTGAAAAAGACCGAATTTCTGGTAACACGTCCATCAACTTTTCATTCCTTAGTTTGCTTAATTTTTGTTATATTTATTTTTTTTTAATTTTGAAACAAAAAATTCTTTCTTTAAAAAATTAAAATTATACTTTTCCATTTTCTCAACAAATTTCTTTCCACCTTCAACAAAACATTTATTAATTGGTTCTTCCCATAAATGTGTATAACGTAAATTAATATTTTCAATAATTAAATTAATTAATTGAATTCTAATTGTGCTCTCAATAAAAAAACAAAATTTTTCTAAATTTTTGTTGTTTTCAGAAATACAAGAAATTAACATAAAATGTTCATACTAAAAATTAAATTATTTTTTTAATTAAAAAAGTGTCTCTTACTTTTTGTATAAATTTATTTTCATTTCCAATTAATTCATTTAAACCCAATGTAATTTCATTTTCATTTTTTATTTTGTTTAATTTTTTCATTGTTAAATAACCTTTAAAATTATATTTGAATATAGTAATTTTTAAAAATAAATTCAACGATCTATTTTGCTAATCATCCGGGGTAATTAAAAGGTCAAATAAAATGAGAATTAACTTTAAATTCACAATATGTGGATATTAGTGTTTCGCCGGACCCGCAAATTTGAAACCGCAACCGGAACCAAAAAATCCCAGAACTTCCGCCGCAACACTAGTAAATACCCGATCTCAATCTATAAGGTTACAATCCCGCCCATTAATTGAATTTTAATTGTGCTCTCCATAAAAAACGTAAATTTGTCATGACATTTAAATGTATTACAGCAATAACTTTTATTTATGAATGAGTAGAGAATTTTTAAATTATCCATATGATCCATTAAACTTTGATAATTTAGAAGATTCGCAGTTATATTTTAGTTAAAATTAAAAATTTATACTATTTATTTACCTTTAATTAATTCCCTCTGAATAATTTCAAAAGTTGAAAGGTTAACATTAAACATTGTATTTTGTTCAGGATATCCAGGTGTTATAATTGTCATAAACATTGGAATTAAATATTTTAATTTTCTTTTTTTATTAATTTCCTCAATATTATTTTTATATAAATTATTTTTAGATTTAATATCCAAATTATAATTCCATCCTTGAGAACCAAAATTTGTCAATTTTTCAATTTTTATTGGGTATTTCCAATTCCTTTAAAATTAAAATTATTTTTAAAAATAATATTTAATGACCAATTTAAATAAACAAAAAAGAATTTTTCCAACAGAAAAGGCACAGAACCACTAGGAAATAAAAGAATTAATTTTGCTGTTAAAATAGCTAAAGAAGATCCATTTAGATAGCCATATTTTCCTCCATAAATGAAATTACCTTGAAATGAAATAAAAATTATTTTAGAATATATCCTAGTCTTAATTAATATAAGTAACTAGAGTGAAGATTCTGGCTATTCGAATACGAATACGAATTTCTGAAAATTTTCGGTTCAGATATCAGATCCATGTATCCAGGGATTCCCCAGGAGCTGCCATCCTTATCCAAAAAATTTTAATATTAATTTATTATTAGATGAAATCAAACAGAAATTTCCGATTCAGATATCGGATCCGTATATCCAGGGATTTTCCAGGATCTGCCAAGCTTATCCTTAACCAAAAAAATTTTAATATTTATTTTATTATCAGATGAAATCAAACAAATGTATCTCCTTCTATAAATAGCCTATCAATTTAATAATTATTAAAATTTCCACAAAATTCCCACAAAATCCCTCAAAAACAAACCTTTAGCCCAATATTTTAACGTTTTCAAAACAATTCTAAATTTATTAATTAATTCATTATTTCCATTAATTTCCAATATTTCCAAAATTAATTTATTTGATTTATACCCTCCAATTGAAAACATTCTTCCTTTAATTTGGTCAATTTCTTTATTTTTAAAATAAATTAATTTTGATAAACGATTTCTTTCAATTAATTCTTTACTCATTTTAATGTTTAATAACCAAGGTTTTTCTTTTTTTAATTTTTTAATTTTATTTTCTTCCTCAATTAATTTATTTTTATATTTATTTTCATGTTCCTAAAAATATTATTTTTTAATAAATTCTAAAAGGACTTGAAGGATAATTAATTATAATTCTAAAACCCGGGCATTCCTTTCTTCGAAAACAAAAATATTTTTTGTAATTATAAGCCCAGAGAAGCTCAAATTAATTTAATTTTCAAAAATACCTCCAATTTTATTTCCAATTTTCTTTTATTTTCCTCACTTTTCCCAATTAATATTTCCAATTTTTTAAATATTTCATTAAAATTATTAATTCCTTTTTCTGTTTGAGTATTTAAATTCTCAATTTTTCCAATAAATTTACCCGGAATTAAAACTAAAGAAATATCAACATCAATACCAAACATTTTCAATTTAATCGTTTGTATACGAGAATTAATTTTATATAAGAAATTAATTTCCTTCTAAATAAAAATTTTAAATAAAAATTTTTTGATTAAAATTTAATTATTATACAGCAGGATATCGCTTGTATCTAAACAATTCATATTTTAAAAATATAAAAATATCCTAAGGATACAATTATTTAATTAGCTAGTAAGTAGGGAAGTTGCCTAGACACTTCAGAGTATATAAAGGTACCCTCATTATAAGGTGCAATTTTTTACCCAGGAATGTACCTGCTAATGTAAGCTGTTCTTGGAAAATCTTCGGGTATCCGGAACGATAACCGAACCGAAAATTTTCAGATAACGGAGTACCTACAAATGAGACTGTATAATGAAAAATTAGCTATCCAAATTAAAAAAATTAATTAATTAAATATACATCAAAATATCCACAAAATCTGCAATAAAGAGATTTATTTAAATGGCCACATCCATTTTCCAAATTTTGGCAATCAACAAATTCTGGCCCAAAAAACTCAGAGGAAGTTATTGGACATTTAATTAAATTATTATTTTCATCCTCAATTTCTTCATGAATAATCAAAATAGAATCAATATCTGATTTATTTATTTTCCCTCCCAATAAATGAGAACCACCCAAAATAAATTCTTTATTTAATAAACAATCTAATTCTTTAGCCCATTCATTTATTTCTTTTAAAATCATTTTTATGGCCATTTCCTCATTTTCTTTGGATGTTGAATCTTCTAATTCGTCAATTAATTCTAATAACTAGAAAAAATATTTTTTAAATAAAATATTTATTTACTTTATTTGTAAATAATTCTTCTTGTTTTTCAAAATTTTCTGTTTGTTCATATGGAAGTTTTTGTAATAAATGAAAATCAATTAGAGAATTATTGTTGTATTTGTAACAATATTCTTGTGGAATTTCTTGCTCTTTCACTAAAAAAATAATTTTTTATTTTAAAATTTCCAATATTTTGTCTATATCTACCAAGGATATCACAGGTTAAGAGAAATGGAGTCGGTCGGGTGTTGGCTTTTCAAATTTTTCTTCAGATCGGGTATCGGGGTTCAGGCACGGGGTTTAACCGTGACATCTCTGATATCTACCAGAATTTTAAATTTAAATAATTAATTAAACATTCCCCTTCCCCCTAACCTATTTCCATTTGATTTTCAATTATCTTCCATTCAACAACTTTAAAATTAAATTCCTTCTCCAATTCTTTTTCATTTTCACAATTATCAACAATTATTTTATTTTTAATATTTTCATTATTTAAAAAAGTACAAAGAATTCTTTTTTGCCTAGAATGTCGTATTTTTGACCATTTATTATCGAAAGCTTCTATTAAATATTTAATATGCAAATAATTGCTAATTATTTTAATTTCTGATTCTTTCGCAGCAATAATCTCTTTATTTCCGCCAAAATTATCTTCATCAAAATTCTCTTAAATTTAATTTTAAATGTTTAATTATTTCAATTGTTTCACAATTCTTGCGCGCAATTGCCTTATATAAGTTTCTCGCAATTTTTAGAAATTTAGAATTTAGAAATGATGGAACTTTCATAAAATATGTTTATAGAATTTTAGTCAAAAAATAAAAATAAATAATTTCTACAGCTAGGCTTAGTAATAATTAAAAAAATTTTTGCTGCGGCTTTTTTGTCCGCATAAATATTCATAATTGCTCCAGCAATTTTATTCTTTAAATTTTTTTATCAAATAAATTTAAACCTTCATTCCTCAAATATAATTCCTTCAAAAAATTGTGGACTATTATTTCCACTTCCTCAAGTCTTTTATCCGTTTTAATCTCTCCAAATTCTTCCAATAATTTCAACCAATTTTCTTTCATTTCAACAATTCCTTCTTTTATTTGGATTAAATTAAATGAAGAATTTTCTAAATCAATTTGTTGTTTCGAGTCTGTTTGTGAGATTATACCCAAACGTTTGCTAATTTCAACAACAATGCAACCAATATTTAATGAAGGAATTAGTTCGGCAGTTCTAAATTTGAAAATTCATATACCGCATATGCTCAAATAATTACAGTGGGTAATTATTGTTTAAATCTCTCGCTGGACGGGGGGAGGGGTTTAATTGTGAGATTTATATATCGAAAGAGGGCAATTATTTGAGAGAGGCATATTTAAAATTGTCAATATAACCAGTATGAGAGGGGAATGTGCGATAGTTTGGGGAGGATATTCGAGACTTGCTATGAGAATGTTGTACATCATATATTCAGTTCTGAGATTTTTCTAGCGCGATAGACAAAAACTTCATTTGATTTCGGAAGGCCAAAAAGCCATAACCCTTCAAAAAACTTACCCAGTTCCTTTTCCAAATTTTTTATAACCATTTAATAATTCTTCCTTTTCTAAATAATTTTTAGGCAAAAAGGCTTTAAAACTCGAAATTTCTTCAATTTGTTTTTGTTGCTGTTTTTGCTTTCTTGAATTCCTTTTATTTATTTTTAAATTATTTTTAGAATCCTCAATTAATTCATTTTTCTCATTATCTTCTTCATTGGGTAATTCTATCGCACCTATTATTTAACACTTATTTTTATATTTGGGAATTAATTTTTAAAAAATTATTTTTTTAAATTAAAATTTATTATTTTTTAAAATAAGAAATTTATTTTTGGTCCTCTTTCGAAATACAAAAAATATAGAAATAAAATTTTCTCAACCCGAAAATATCCCTCTCAAAACACTTACCGCTTTTTCCTTCTTCAAAAATATTTTTATCATTTTTTACATCTAAACTATTTGGTAATACTTTTAATTCTTCATTATCTAATCCTTCTAATTCCTCCTCCTCTTTATTATTATTTTTATTTTCCAAAATATTTTTATTTTTCTTTTTATTTTTTTTCTTCTTTTTATTATTTTCTTTTTCATTATTTAAAGTATTATTTTCCGAATTTAAAAGGCTGGAAATTAATTCTTTTGTCATTTCTTCACTAATAATTTTACTTATTTTTTCATGTTGAAATGAAGGGTCTTTTTTAATTTCTAAAATAAAATAATTTATTTGTTTATAAATTCTAAAAATTATTTTTTAATTAATTAATAAATTTAATATTTGGTAGAAAGTGAGAGAGGTTACTTTTCCGTTATACGACCGCAAACTGACTACCATTTTTGATGCTTGATTTAATACAAAAGAATTTAACATCATTCGAAAGCCCTCAATAAGTTTTATCGTTTTTCCAACTTGATGGATCAGGTCTGATCACCAATTAGAAAGTTATAACCCAATAACTGTGAAAAATACTAAATAACTTATCGGGTATAACTTATCAGGTTAAAAACTTATCAGGCTAGTTCCAGGCATTTACTAGTTCCGTAGTTCTAGTTCCAAACTAGTTCCAGATAATCGTTAGTCCCGTAGTTCTAGTTCTGGAACTAGAACTAGAACTAATTAGTTCCGAAAATGGAACTGGAACTTTGACATCACTGCATGGTACGGCTCAGAAAACTTAGTCGTATATCTGGAGCCCAGATCACCAGGTATCCCTCAAATCCCCATTATCACTTCATATCCAGTGATATCTCCTTAAATTAAATTGCTTGATTAAATTAAATTTGTTCAAATTTCAATAAAGCTTTAGTTTTTGTTCTGAAAATGTCGTTGAGTTAATTAAAAATTTTCCCTTTTCACAAAGAGAATTGTTAATTATTACTTAAATTTTTAAAAATTATTTTTAACCTTCTAATGCCCTCATTCTTAATTCTTCTCCATAATCAGTTTTACTAAAAATTATTTCATTTAAATTTTCATAATGCATATGTTTTAGCCAATTAGTAAATTCTTCTTTAAACGGCAAAAACATAAATGCTCGGAAACTCTCTTCTCTTATTTCTTTAAATTCTTCCTTCAAAACCCCTGCAGAACTTTTTTCTCCTTTAGAAAATTCTCCCTTTTTCATCCTTTTTCCTATACTTTCAAGCATTTCTTGAAACCATAAAGAAAGTTGTAGACCATATTTTTGTAAATTTTTGTTATCATTAAAATGTTCCTGAATTATAATTAATTAAATTATAAGTAATTATTCTGTAAGAAAGTAGTTAATATGAACTTTCTAAGATTTTGTAGTAAAAATTAGGTTAGATGCTAAGAAGTAAACAAAAAATTTTTGTGATTTCTAATAATTTGCTTAAATCATCAATACGCGATCGATTTTGAAAAATATGTTCCTAAATTCCACGGGCGGCCGGATATTATCCGTATCCATGGCCATTTCTGATTTAATTTATGTAACTCAATAACTCATTATTATGTAATTTACATATTATTAATATGATTTGGAAATAAAATTTTCTATTTTACCGAAAATATTAAACAAAAATATGATTCATTCCCATTTGATTCCCAAGCATTTAACACACTGTTACGTACTCTTTGATTTGGCCAATTATGTAAATTATTTATTTGTTTAATTATTCCTCTTAGCCAAACAATGAAATCTGCGGCAAACTTAAAATATTTAAAATTAATTTTTGATTTTTTGGGACTGACCTTGTGTTTTAAACTTTTTATCATATCTTCAGTAAATATTGCTTCTTTATAATGTAAAGCTAATTTCGCATTATTTTTGAAGTCTTAATATTAAATAAGAATTATTAATTAATATATTTTTGGAGCTTAGCAAAATATGTGGAAATAAATATATAAACCGGGCCTGATATTTTTGTGAAGTAGGTTCCAAAATTATGATTTTTGAGTGATATAAACGGTTAAAAATCTAAACAAGGCCAAAATAGGTCCGAATTTTAACCAAATATGAAAAAATTGGGAGTTTCACAGAAATAGAATCTGAACAAATTAATCGTGCCAAGCTCTACTGAGTATGTTTCACTGGATTTTTTAAGGAGTTTTAGAAAATTGATGACTTTCATTAATATCCGCGGATCGTATAGAAAGTTTTTTCTCTGAAAAACTTCAATTTCAATTTTTGTATTTATTTTCTTTCAGCGAAACACGAATCTTAAGCATATTACTATTTAGTTTTACTATCTATTTTCAAAAATATTTTTTTAATAACTAAAAATTATTTAAAATTTATATACGATTAGGATCTTTCAATTCTCCATCTTTTGTGCAATATTCATTTTCATCTGTATATTTAAATTTGATATCTATTAACATTTTAGCTTGCAATTGACTAACAAACGTTTCCAATTTTTGTATAATAATTGCTTCATTATTTTCTTTTATTTCTTTTAAATAATTTTTTAAACTTTTAAGCGCAAAATAATGTTGATTTTGTGAAAATTTTTTATAATTATTTATAACATCCTCTTCATCTAAATATTTCATTTTTCCTTTAAAAAATTTATTTGTTAATTCATTTAATGATTTAATTTCTTGAATAATTCCTTCCTTTATATTAAGTAAATACATGTAAATATTTAACATAAATTCTTTAAAATAATATTTATCATTTTCCATCAAATTTTTTGGCAATTTTTGAAATGAATCTGTTAAATTATGTATATTTCTTAAATACTGTAAAGCATATAGCTATTTAATTTCCTAAGGCTTAGCAGTAGGCGGCGTGGTGTAATGGCTAACACATCAGTCCGGTCTACTGAAGATGCTGGTTCGCTCCCAGCCGCCGAATAACCTTTTGCACTAGCTAAAGGAGAGAAATAGCTATAGCCCAGCTGCTTTACTTAAATATATTAATATCTTATTTTAATTAAGTTGTTGAAGGTAAATTATCCGAAACGTAATCAAAGACCGGTCTTTTGGCCCATCAATCAAAAAATAAGCTGACGTTGTCCGAAAATCGGTGACCAACCCCTCCATGTTTCGGTTTTAAAAATATAATTCAAATTTGGATACATTAAATTATATTTTTAAATTGTTATGCTCGTAGAATTGTCCTTAAGTTTTTATTAATTTCGATCCTCTAACTAATTTAAAAAATAATTTTAAAAATTTAATTTAACCATTTTCAATTAATATACAATAAATATTTTGTATATTTTTATTTTTCCATTCATTCCATTCTTTTGCAGCGTCAAAATCTAATTTTTTTAATTTTCCTTCATTAACGTTACCATCAATAAATCTCATCCATACAATAAAATCTGCAATTAATTTATGTTTTTCTTGTATTTGCTGAGAATCGTTATATAATGCTTCATTATAATGATTAATTAAAAATTCAGCTTCATCAATAATTCCTAAATTATTGCTTTTTTAAGTAAAATTTAAATTGAAATATTTTTTTTAATTTACTTATGATAAAAATATAACTGTGTTATTAAGTGGTATTTATCCGTTATAAAAAGAAGGTATGGAGGGTAGACATCAGTGTTTGGAATTTCGAAATTTGCTCGTACACAGTTACGAGTACAAGTACGAATTTTGTTACTATCTTCCAAACATCGGTAACCATTCTTCTATTGGCCAACAAGGTTGGCGGATCCGGATATCCGGATCCGAAAAAAGTCCGGATATCCGGAAATTTTCGGTTCGGATACCGGATCCGGATATCCGAAGATCTTACAAGTTTCTAGTCTTAATATATTAAAATAAATATTTTTAATTAAGCGAATACTTTTTACAAAAATATCCTTTTCCTCTTGTTTGCAAATCTGTTTAATTGAGGTTATTTGATCATTATCATTCTTAATATCCTTTATTTTATTTTTTCCTTTAAAATTATCTTTATTATCTCCATTATTCTCATCTGGTAATTTAATTGAAGAACAAGAATCCAAATTAATTTTGTTATTTTCAATTAATTTTAAATCATATTCTATAAAAATTAAGTATTTAGTTTTAAAATATATTTTAAAGTTAAAATTATTTAAATCCTTTGGAGAAAGAAGGGTTTTTTATGAAAAAAATTTAAAAAATATTTAATTTACCAGAATTTGTGTTTTTATTTTCTAAAATCAATTTAAAACTTTTATCAAATTCATTTTTTATCCAAATATTATATTTATTAACCTCTCGATCGTTTAATAATTTATTATTTTTTATACTAATTAAATTTCCTCTAATTATTTCAATTATTGGAGGTTCTAATTTCTTCCATTCTTTTCTTAAATTTTCTAAATTTTTTAATTCATTTTCTGCTTCCTTTCCTTTAATTGTCATTTTATTCTCAACTAATTTTTTGGTTTTTAACTGCCAAAGTTCGCAAATATAAATAACTTTCACATGTTGTTCATCAGCTTTTTGTTGTCCATCATTTATAAATATCCAATCATATATTAGATCTATACAAATACGCCTTTCATCCCAAATTTTGATTATTGCTTTTTGAAGATTTTTATCCTTCCAATCATTGCTTGACTGCAATTTTAAATTAAAAAATTTTTTTTTAAATTTCGGGGCCAACCCTCCCCCTCCCCCCCCCCCAAGAAATAAAAACACAAATTAAAAGAAAAAAATTTATTTAAATTAAATCCAAATATATAAGCTGCTCGGCTGTTGGTAAGTTGGTTGAAAAGTAAGTAGAATGAGAAGAGGAAGAAGTGAATTAAAGTTTTTAGGGGAAAGCGACAGCCGAGCGAAAAATGCAAAATAGGCGGAGTTTTAACAATTTTTAAGTCGGGACCAAAAAATCAAAAAGCGAGGATTGCCAGTCGGCACATTTACCTTTATTTAAAAAATCTTTATTTTAATATTAGTAAATAATTAAATTTGATGGTTATCAAAAACGCATATAATGGAGACTCAAATTTTCATTTCGAATTTCAGGATATTTTTTCTAGTTAGTAACTCTTAAATATTTTTAGTCCCAATAAATCTACTAAAAACTGTAAAATTATTTTAATTTACTTTAATTAAATTATCCATATAACGATAATAGCAAAACAGATCCATTGCTATTTTATCTAGTATTCTTTGAAGTTTATTTTCTTCTTGTGATTTGGACATAGTATGATATATAAAACCCTTATTATCCCAATAATAAACTAAAAATTAAAGAATTTATTTTTTTTAGAATTCCAAAATAAACCCAACTTTTTTCTCTTAAATTAAATTCATCACAAAATTTATTAAATTTTTCCATATCTTCATTTATTAATTTTAAAAATCTTGTTTTAACGCCAAATTCAGATTTGAATGTGTTTAAAATATTTTGGTCATTTTTAAGTTTTTCAGTTAAAAATTGAATGTGTTGTTCTTTTAAATATTCGCGTTGCTCTCTAAAAGTTAAAAAAAAACTTTGATTTTGGTTTTTCTCTTATAAAGGGTGACCAAGAATATAAATATTATTTATAAAAATTTAATTATCAAAATAAATTATCAAAATTATCAAAATAGAAATTTTGGCGGAGCTCTGAATTTTTAGTTATCCCCTTGTGTTTAAAAAATCGTCTCTTATAATTAGGATATCTTAACTTAAGAGTTGCCCTTTTCACCTAATGGCCAACCAAATAATAAAAAATCTCAAATTTAAGAATTTTTTGTATACCTATATATATCTAAAAATGAAGGTTGTCTCTAATTATAATTAATTAATTTCAATTTTACCTAACAATTTTGTCTTCAGTTTTTATTTTACATTGATTTAAATTCATCTTCAATTTCTTATCATAAGAGGATAAAATATTTAAAATATTATTGGCTGATTTTATTCTTATAGTTTTTAAATCATTATTAATTCTAATAATTAAACAAACTATCCACAAATTTTCAAAATTTTCAAAAATATTTTTTCTCAAAATTTTAACAAATTCCTCAGCTTTTTTAAATAAATTTCCTTTTTGAATATCTGTTTGTTTAGAATATTCCAAAAATTCTTTTTCAAATTTATAAAATTCTGTCAACAAAAGTGACAAAGAAATTCTTTTTTCAGAATATATTTCAAGTCCATCATAATCTTCTTTTAATTTAATTTCATCTTCTTCCTTGTTTATTCTATAAATTATTTGCTGGTAAAGTAACCAACGATATTCTTCATCCATTGTATCTAAATAGATATTAAATTATTTTAAAATAAGTTTTTAATAAAATATTTAATTTAATTATTTTCAAGCAATTTTTTTTCTAAATTTGCAAAAATAATTGTATAAAGTAAATTGACAATTTCTTTAAAAATTATTAATACTTTTTTTGATAGATCTCGACCTTGATAAACCTTAGCAAATCAAACTTTTTTAATTTTGCTAAAAATTTGTGGACATCTAACAATAAGCGATGGCTAGGCGCTCCTATTTTAGATACAGCTCACTTATAGATATGATCCAAGGGTTAAGTTTGTTCGATGTCCGACTTTATTTAATCCCGAAAACACGGTGTTTTAAATAATATTTTTTATTATTTAATTAAACATAGGTATATGCATACGTAGTTGTAAAAGTTCCGGTAATTCTATTTCCATTTTTATAAGCAATTTTAATCCCATTAATTTAATTAATTTATTTTTTGAAGCTTCTTGTAAAATTTTTACTAATTGTTGTGATATTTTTAACAAATTAATTATTGTTGATGAATGTAATAATTTTAATTTTATTTTCTCATCAGGAGAATTTGTCAATTTATGAATAATTTTTTCGATTTTTTCATCTGTTGAACATTCTTTATTTTTATCAGGAAAATCCTTGGGTTCCTTTAATTTTTAATTATTTAAACGCGAAAGACGCGAAAGGCGGAATTAAATTTAAAAAACGGCACGCGGAATGCGAAAGGAGAAAGTCCAAAAATGGCGAAAATCTGCGGAAGACGAAGAAGAAAATTTTTAAATTATATAAACAAACATAAACGCAAGCTTATGTGACTAAGCTGAATTTTTTGATATATTATTTATATTAATTAATCTAACCAATTTAGGTAAATATTCTTTATATTTCTCCAAAATCATGACCCAATCTTTATTTTTTAACAAATCTTTGTCTCTAAAAAATCTTTCAGTTAAATAATATACTTTACAAATAATCCATTTAGTAATCCCCATTCCAATATTCCTTACAAGATCAACAAATTCAATATTATATTCCTCAAATTTTAAACAAAATTTCTTCTCAATTTCATTCGCTCTTTCTTTTTTATTAATATTTATTATTAAATTAGTTCCCCAAAAATTCGCTTTGATAAATAATTTATATGTATGCCAAATGTAAATATGCTTATTTAATTGGCTTTCCAATTCTTCTGTAATAGAATTTTTGAAATAATTATTGTAATATTGAATTATTTCTTGTCCCATTACATCTCCTTCTAAATCTAAAAATATTTATATTGAAATCATAATACATAAAACTTTTAAATCATGTATAGACTTGGGTGGTTTTTTTATTTCTACACAATATCAATGGCATATTTTTTAAAACAAAAAATAAAATTTTAACTAGCGGCATAAACTTTTTGTTCGCCCAAAAAGGACGGTCTATAATGTTTGACTTTATAATTTTTGAATAATACAAATATTTATTAGAGAATTTTTAATAAATAGGTATTTTAGAGATGTAAACTGGTCTTACAGAATATAAAAAAGATTTTATATTAGCCCCTTCTAAAAACACTAAAACTTTAAAAAAAATTTTAATCCATAGGACGATTCAAATCCATAAGAGGATTAACAAGGCTATAATTTTAACACAGTTTTATTCTAATATTGGTTTTACGTTAATTTATTAAATAATTTTTAGGGAAATTAAAATTACCAGTAAAATATATTTGTACAGCGAATATTTTATTAAAATAAATTAAAAGAAATATTCCAAAATAAAATAAAAATATTTTTGTCATTTTAAATTTTAAAATAAATTTTTAATTTAATTAAAAACAAATTTTATTTTTAATTAAATTTAATAAGAAAAATTTTTTAATAATTATTAAAGCTTTAAATTAAAAAATAATGTCGGCAAAATTTTGTAGGTAAACATTAACAAGGGGAAAATAATGTTAAGAAATTTTGCACTTTATTGAGAAATTGTAAAAATATATACATAAATATATTTATAACGTGATAGCTAGACATTATGTAATAATAAAAATATTGACAAATTAATTTTTTTATTGAGAAATTAATTTAAAAATTAAAGTGCAAATTAAATAAAATTTAATTAAAAATTTTAAATTATTTTTCTTTGAAATTATTTAGGGTAACATTAAGAGGAGGAAAACAATGTTAATTTTTTTATTAATTAATTTCTATTATAATGAAGTTTAATAATTCCATAACGAATATATGTATAATTCAATATTTTTATTTTATATAAGGGTAGTGATGTTCGGGAAAAGAAAAAACTCGGGAAACGTGAGTCGGGTCGGGAAATGACCTCGGGAGTCGGGAATTTACAATAAATTTTTGGGGCCTCCGGCGCCTAAAATTGCGATTTTTTACAATGCAGGGTGACAAGAAATGTTTAGGACATTATTCATTTTGCCTTAACTTTTTTCTCATTAATATTTTTTAATATTTTTATGCTCATTTTGAAGCCCAAACAATTCTATTTATGGGCTTAAGAGATCGTTTCGATTACTGCTTAGTAGAATTATACATATTAATTTAAAAGAAGAATAATTTTATTAAGTAGAAAATTAAATGAAAATATGAGATTATATATTCGTTGTATCTGGAATTAAAGATATAAACAAAAATGAATAATTTTTTAAATTTCTATTTAAATAAAATAAATCTTTAAATTCAATTCCTTTTTTTTGAAAATTTTTAAAACAAAATTATAACAAATATTTTTAAACATTTTATAACAATGTAAATTTAATATATAAATTTAATTAATTTTAATTATTTTATTTCCTTTTAAATATTAATTTTCTATAATAACACATTCTTCCTTCTATTCTATTTAGTAACTTGGAGTAACTTTATTGTGTAGAGGATTAGGCCCAGATGGAACTTTGGCACATTCAGAATATTTAAAAAATAAAAATATTATAATAAAAACAAATTGAATTAGTAATTTCATTTTTAAAAAATTAATTTTTTAATTTAATTTTAAAGAAAATAATTTTTTTAGTTTGAATTTTTTGCAGTTTTGTGTGTATGTAAATTGTTATAAAAATATTTATTCTTTTAAATAAAAAAAGTTTTTTTTTATAAAAATTAAAAATTAAGCAAATAAATAAATTTTTGTACATATATACCGACAACATTAAAAATAAAAACATAAAAATATATACCGATTTAGATTTATTTATTTTATTAAATATTTTTATAAAGAAAAAATGTAATAAAATTTTTAAATTTATTTTTGTTAAAATTTTGCAAAATTTTAAAAATAAAATGTATATTTTATTCATAACAGTTTTTTTATTAAAATTATGGAATAAATAAAAAGATTTGTTTGGTTATTTTTAATTTTTAAATAAAAAATTTTATTTAGTGTTCGGCAAATGGATTTTTTCGGTACTGGTACCCAGAGGTGGGTCGGAAATGTCGAAGGTGTCGGAACTCGGAATTCCGTCACACCTCTGCTGGTACCAAGAGTATCAAAAAGTCCCGATACCGAATGAGTACTGAAAGTTCAAAAATTTTGTACCGGAAAATACCGGTACCGAACCGTGTCGAACACTGATTTCATTATTTATTTTATTAATTTAAATTAAATTAAATTAAAATTTTTATAAAATGTTTATTTAACAAAAATTGTGTTAAATTTTATTAATAATTTTTACTTTTGAATACTCACAATTTAAAATTTAGTTAAAATATTGAAGGATTTTTTTCACAAATTGGAAAATAACTAAATTTTACAATGTCTCTTTACATTTAAAATATTTATTAAACGAGAATTATTTATAAAAATACTTTGCCATATTTTTTTAATTTTTGGTTCAATAAATTTTTATAATTTAAAAATTAATTTTTACTCTGTGGAATTTTTTGGAAAAAATTGAAAAAAATTTTTTTGATAGATTTTAATATTATGTGTTACAAAAAAGTAAAATTGAGGATTAGCAAAACTCTTAAAAATTTTTATCCAAATAAACATTTTATTTAAAATTTTCTAATTTTTAACTATATCGAATAAATAAATTAATTAATATAATAATTTATTTTCCTTTTTCCTTCAATTCATTGTTTAATTTTCAAAAGGGAGTAACATCATTGCTAATAGGATTAGGTCCAGCCGGAACATCATGACATTCAGAATATTTTAAAAATAAAAATATTATTGTAAAAATAAATTGAATTAGTAATTTCATTTTTAAAAATAAATTTAATTTTGTTTTGAATTTAATAAATATTTTTAAAAAATTTAACGAGGAGAATGTCTTTTTTAAAGAAAATTTGTTTTCTTTTAAATAGACTTTTCAAAATATATTTATTTTATTAACAAAATTTTTTATTTTCATTGAAAAAAATTTAAAACACTAAAATAATTTTTGTTTTTAACAATAAAATCAGAATATAATTATTTTGGATTTATTTACTTAGAGTATATTTTTCTTTATTTTGAATAGTACCACCCATCCCTCCATAATTTAAAAATGTTTTTCTTTATTTTTTGCCCAAACTTTTTTTTTATGTCTTTTGGGTTGTTAAAATTTTAATTCACAAGTTGACAAATAAAAAATCTTATGATTAAAACAAAATTGCCAAATATTTGTGAAAACATTAAAAATTATTTTTTTAAGATTTAGATTTACTATGTAATGTATATTTGTGTGTTTTGGTTTAACATAAAATGAATAACTTAAAAACTTTTACCAATTTTTTTATTTTTATAAGAATAATTTTGAAATTATGTATAAAATGAAATAAAATTAATTCAAAAAATTCTTTGGGAGATAAATAAAGAAATCTTAATTGTGGGTTCGGAAATTAAGAAATGATAGAAGAGAGTGGAGGTCTGCTTAAAATAAAATTTCATTAATATTTATTAAAAAATAAAAACATTTAAAGTCTTAATCTTCTCTTCATTACATTTTTTGATGTAATGAATTGCAGCTTAATGTGAGTTTTTAAAAATTAGAATCTTAACCAAAACATGGATTTTAAAATTCGGAACTATGTTGATCATTATCAAATTTTTTTCAACTTGTTTTGGCACTTAATAGTGAATATATTTTTCAATTTTCATACTCTTTATATTTAATGTTTTGCTTAATTCTTTTTTAAATTCTAATTAAAATTTTGCTTTGGATTGGGCTCTGTTAAATTAATGCCATTCAAAATATTAATAATTAATATTATTATGTATAATTTTAATTTTAATTATTAAAAAAAATAATAAATTTTAGTTTAAAATATAATTTAAATATCTTTTAAATAAAAGAAATATTTTTACTTTAAAATTTTCTTTGTTCTTTTTTAAATAATCTCCTCCATTAATTCTTTTTATTATTATAATGTCCATTGTGTGGACTTTTCTTATTCGATTGTTTATTGCTTATAGGATTTGTTCCTGAATTAACTTCATGACAAATGGAATATTTAATAATAATTAAAAATAAAAATAATAAAAATTTAATTAATTTCATTTTTATTTTTGGAATTTTTTAATTGAACTAAAAATTTATTTTAAAAACTAATTTTTATATAAAAATTAAAATTGTAGTATAGTCATCTAAAATATATTTAATAATTAAATTATTTATTAACACAGCTGCCTAAACGGATGACTGAAAATAAAATAAAAATCTTAATATTTTTTATTTAATTTTTATTTATGTATTATTCAATAGAGGAAACTACAAAACACTACTCTAATAATATTTTTAGAAATTTCATAATTTTTAGATGAGACTATTTTTTGTTTTTTATTTTTATTTAAGTATTTTTTTATAAATAATCACATTACATATCATATTTTAGATTTTTAATTTTCTCGTAATTATTGAGAAAAAAATTCTTTATTCTTTCAAATAGCGAGACAGAATTTTGGTGTGTGTTTTAGCAGTTTAAATAAAAATATTTTTTAATTTTATTTATTATATCAACTTCAAAAAAATGTATTTAATTTTTTAAATGCTCTTTTCAGTGGCTAAACATTTTTTCTTTCTTATTGTTGTTCTAATAAATCTATAAGGGAACGTGCCATCCGATACTCTACACTCCAAGTTCAAGAAAGATTCCAAAATGTCTTTATTCAAGACTAAGTCTCGAATGTTGCTGACAAAAGTTATGCTCTAATTTAAATCGAATTTAAGTGGATTTTTAAATAAAAGCATTCTTCCTTACCTCAGTCTCTATTATTAATTCTTACCAAATAATTCAAGAATCCTGAAATTCCCAAGGATTTCCGAAATCGCTAATTATTTTTATATCAACACTTTCCCAAATATGCATTTAAATTTAGTTTTATTATATAAACATTTTTCATCTAAATATTGCTTTTCTAGAATCTTACTTACCTAATAATATACCTATTTAAAATAAAAATATTTACCAAATTAAGTAAATTAAAACTTTATCAAAATTAAATAAAAACCTAACAATAAATTAAATATAATTTAAGTTTTATCAGAATTTCATCTTTTCTGTTTAATTTTTTTGGGGATTAGGCCCAGTTGGAACTCGACGACAAGCTGAATATGTCAGGAGTAAAATAAAAAATAATAATTGATAAATTAAATTTAAATTCATTTTTAAAATAAATTTAATTTTTTAAAGAGTTTTTTTTTTTTAAATTTTTTTTTGGAATATTTTTTTGAAAATGAATTAAATTTTGATAAATATTTTCTAAAAATATTTTTATTTATAAATATTACCAAACTACATTTTTATGAATTTATTTAAAAAATATATTTTATTATATCTTATGATAAAAATTACAATATTTTTAAATTTTAATATTTACATAAAAAATGTTTTTTAAAATTTTTATTAAAACATTAAAGATTAAAATTTGTGTATCTAAAATATTTATTTTAATTTTTGCAAAAAAAAATAAATAATAAATTAATTAATTTTTTAAATTTTTTTCGTTTCTTTAATTTCTATATTCCAAAAAAGTCCAACTCCTTCAAGTTCTGATAAATATAGAGCAAAAAATAATACCAAAAATGAAGAATATAAAACAAAAAATGCAAGAAGAAGTTTTCTCATTTTTTGAAATTAATAAAATAATTTATTTAAAAAATATTTTTTGTGGGATTAATTTATTTTAAATAAATATGTAAAAATAAAATCATCTTCTTATTTATTTTGATGTTGCCTTGGAAACAATAAAAATTATTCATAATAAAATATAATATTAAATAAATAGTTTGTTTTTGCCATCTTTTAAAATTTTTTTAGCCATTTTTAACCCCCCCTCGTGGTACGGAAAATATAAAATGAAGGATAAGATTTCTAAATTAAAATGCTTCGACGAATTTACAAATTATTAACAAATCGTAGACATAATTACACATTTTTTATAAAAAAATAAATATAATTAACATTTACAATTTATTTATTTTTATTTAAAATTTATATTTTTTCTTGTTTTATACAGCATTTGTGTCATTTTGCATTTTTACAGAAATTAATTCTTTTATCGTCAAGACTGCACAAGGTATTTTTTGGGCAGATAATACATTTTTGTGGATTGGTTATGCTGCAGCAAACTTGAAATAATTATTTATTTTTTTAGATTTTATTTTTAAGATTAATTTTTTTACTAATATTTAGGTAATATCAATAGTATTCTCAAATTAATTTTTATGGGTATTTCAAGCCCCCCCCCCTAGTATAAAAAATACAAACGGAGAGAGGAAATTCTCGATATTTAATTTTTATTTATTAGAATTCTAATCTGTAATGAACACTCAAAAATCCTTATAAAGAATTCAAATAATATTTTTAATAAATAAACTAACCTCCAGGACAAAACATAGTCCTAATACAATATTTTCCCGACCGAACAGTTCCCGGTCTGCATTGACATCCAGGTGGACCGCAGACTGAATAACAAGGAGTGGTCTGATTAAAGACCGTAAGGCATGTTGGTTCGCAAGAAGGTTTTGTACATTCAACAAAAACTTCATTCGGGAGACAAAACCGAGGAGTTGTAATTATTGTTGTTAATAAAGTTGGTTGGATTGTTGTTGTAGTTTTTAATTCGGGCAAAGTTGTGTCTAAATATGTTATTTAATTAAATTAAATATTCTTTAAGACGATGAAACTAGACCAAATGCCTACTAAAGCCATTTTTCTGGCATATGGACCGCGAGCTGGATACTTACCACAACCTAGCTACTCATGCCAACCGTATTAATGTTATTCAAATGCGTTTTTCCGGTACCGGTATCAGTATTTTCGGTAAATACTGAAGTCGAAAAAATACCGATTTTTTATGTGTCGGTAAAATTGACGGTAATATTTAAAACAATACCGAGGTAATACCGGAAAATACCGTACTGTGAATAACATTAGTATTAACTTCAACCGTGTTATTCACAAAAATCGATTATTTTTTAATATTTAATCATAAATTTATAGAAAATTTAGATAATGATTATATTTAAATTACCGTTTTCACAGTAGGAGTTAATCCTGTAAATAAATTATTTTTATAATTTAATTTGAGAATTTAAAAATATTAATTAAATAAATAAAATTTCTAATTAATCATTTAATAAATTAAATATATAATTAAAAAATAAAAACTTACCTAACAACAAAATAAGTAATTAAACATAACAAAATATTTTTTAAAATATACATAAATAAATTTTTATCAATTTTTATTTTAAAAAATAAATATTTTAATAAAATAAATGAATATAAATAAAAATAACAATTCCTCTATTTCCTCAATTTGTTTGTAAAATTATTTAAATGAAAAACTTCAAATAAATCCACGTTTTCTTTAAATTAATACAAATATTATTTTTATTTAAATTATGATGTGATAGATAGAATGTTTTTTAATTCTTTTTTATTTTGTTATATTCCTCAATAAATTCTTTCTGGAAATTTTCTAAAATTTGTTTTTCTTCCGATTTACTTAAAATGAGATAAAAATTAATAAAAAAATATTTTTTTGGGTTTACCTAAAAAGTTCCACTAAATTTTCATTAACTTCTTCTAAATTCTTTTCCAATTTATTTATTTTAATTTTAAAATTGATTTCCTTAATTTATAAATATAAATAAATGTTAATAAATATTAACAAAAATAAATAATTTAAAAATAATAGTGGAAAAAATTAATGGAATTAGTAGATAAATGTCTGATAAAAATAGGACGGAAGTAAAACTTTTAAAATACAAAACGTTAAGTAATTTTTCTGAACGTAAAATAAATTTTTTAAATAGCAATTTTTCATCGAATGTCTGGGTTGTGGGATATTGCGAGTTTGCAACCCTATTTAAAACCGGTGTCTTCAACTACGATTAATTTAATTTCAATTTTCAACACATACATAGTATGTTTATTCTCATGTATATGTCAGTCATAACTCATCATAAAAAGTATAACCATCTCTTTACCATGTGAAGGGTATCACGACTTTTGCGCCGAGAACATTTGCGCCGCGACTTATGCGCCGCGACTTTTGCGCCGGGCGACTTTTGCGCCGCGACTTTTGCGCCGCGACTCTTGCGCCGGGCGACTTATGCGCCGCGACATTTGCGCCGCCATTATTTTAAAAAAATAAAATAATAACTACAATCGTACCTCACTTTAGGTGCCTTGGAAATCCCCGGATCCGATATCCCAAATGATTTCTGATGTGCTGACTTTTTCGGATCAGGATATTTGGATCTGCAACCTATTCCGGCATGATTTTCAGCCCCAAGAGGGTGCATTATAGTCTAGGATTGTCGGATCCGGATATCAGAAGATTTCAACTATCCGACAACCCTACTATAGTGAGGTCCGGCTGTAGTTATTCATATATTTTTAATGATAGTGGCGGCGCAAAAGTCGCCCGGCGCAAAAGTCGCGGCGCAAAGGTTCCCCGGCGCAAAAGTCGCTCGGCGCATAAGTCGCGGCGCAAAAGTCGCGGCGCAAGAGTCGCGGCGCAAATGTTCTCGGCGCAAAAGTCACGGAACCATGTGAAGCATGGAGCTATTTAATTCTTAAGGCTGTAAGTAGGCGGCTTGGTGTAATGGACATCGGTCCGGTCTACTGAAGATGCTGGTTCGCTCCCAGCCGCAGATTACCTTTTGCACTACCTAAAGGAGAGAAATTTACTATCATTCAAATCATCTCAGTAACCTCTCACACCAAGAAACATTTAAATGTCTTCTTCCCAAAATCAAAAACATTACCTCATAAACATTATTATCAAATAAGTGATAAAGTTTGCAAGTTATCCAATAAATTTCCCAAGCAAATAAATTTGTTTTTTGTTCATCATTTAATTCTTCTTTTTCTTCTTCTTCCTCTTTTTCAACAATTTGTTTAAAAATTAATTCTGTAAAAATATTTTCTTTTTGTTTTTCTTCATTTCCTTTCAAATTTTTTTCTAAATTTATAGCTTCAATAAATTTTTTTCTATTTTCTTTTCCCAACATTTCTTTAATAAATTTATTTGTATTCATATTAAAAATATTTTCCTTTGTTTCCCAATTAATTTTAAAAAGACCCAAATCTTCAAAAAAATTAATTACCATTTCCAAAATTTCTTTATTAATATTTTGACTGACTAAAAATTATTTTGAATTAAAATTTTGAATTTAAAAATTAAAAAAATTAAAAATAAATTGTAATTATTTTGCATGATACTGCCGATTCGCTAATCTTGAATTAACGATAATTTTCGTAATTCCTGAATCGGGTCGGCCGTATCCGTTTACATTTACATCTTTGTTTACCTTCTTGTTTTTCATAAACTTTTTGATTTTTCTTTGAAACTTTGTTTAAATTTTTGGCAATATTTGTATTTGATTTGTGAAGTCTTGCTAAAATATAAAAATTTCGAAATAATATTAATATTATTAAAATTATTAGAATCCAATCATTAATTTATATGAATAATGCCCTCATTTATTTAGGATTATTTTATTTATTCCTTTCGAGATTCATTTTAAGTTTTGGATAGATTTTTCAAAGTTAATTATGATTCTTTTTCAATTGCCAGTATATACTGTGCCACAGACTTCGGGTAATATTTTCACATAATTTATGATCACCACTACGGATTATTTTAATCAAAGCAATTCAAAATCCCTCATTTCCTTATATTATTATTTATTAAATTCACAAACTTTTTTTGTTTGTTTCATTGTTAGAAATAAATAAATTTGTTTTATTTTTATTTATTTTCCCTTCTTCAATTTCTTTTTGTTTGCTCATTTCCTTATTTTCTTTTTTTATTTCTTCCACTTTTTTTTCTTCTTTAATAATTTCTTTATTTTCTTCAAAATTAATTTCAGAATTTGAAGTCTTTAATTTATTCAAAAAATATTTTTATAATTTATTTTTAAAAAAATTTTACCGAAGCAAAATCCAAATTTGATGATGACTTCAACTTTTTTCCATTAATTTTCTTTAACAATTCCTTTTTTGAATAATCAGTTAAAATTAAGACTTGCTCATCTTAAAAATTTTTATTTTTAATAATTAAATTGCTTAAACAATATTTAATTTTTTCTTTAAAAAATTTTTATTTTTGTTAAAAAATTAAAAAAAAATTTTTTTTATTTTATATTTGCCTTATTTTTTAGATTGCTTCGATTTAAATTTTTTTAAAAATTTTTTAAGTGTTTGTCAACAAAATAAATTTTAATTTAAAAAAAATTTTAAATATAATACATAAATATTCTAAAAAAATTTTTTCTTTAGAATAAACCTTCTGCTCTTTCAATTAATTTAATTAATAATTTAGCTTCAACATCCCCTTCATTAATAATATATATTAAGTTTCCCACATGAAATTCATTAAATTTAATATTTTTATTTTCTTCTTTATTTTTTAATTTATATTCAATACATTCTACAAGCTTCTTTTTTAATTCTTTTTTATTCTGTATTTTTAATTTTTTATTCATTTTTGTTAAATTATTTGCACATATTTTTACATAATATAAAAATTTTCCTCTGTTTGAATATAATTGTATTTGTGAAAAAAGATATGGATTAGTTAGCCATTTCTTTAATTTAAATATAAAATATTTTAATTATTTTGGAAAGAATGGGGGAGATTGAAAAATATACTTGCCCGTTATAACTATTTACGTCCACTCAATATTTTGGGTTTTACCACATTAAATCGCTATAAAATTAATTAAAATATATTTCAAAATATATATTCATTCAAATATATATTCAACAGATTTTGATTTTTAAACATTTATGCCAAAACTCAATTAATTTTAATACGATCTGACATGGACATATAGATAAAATCCAAAATTTTGAGTGGACGTATAGTTATGACGCGAACTGTATTTACCCCATCTTTTTTAAATTTTTTTGATAAAATATTTTAAAAACTTTAAACCTTAAATTGTTCCACTCCTTCCTCTGGTTTTATTTTAAATCTTGTAACTGATAATTCAATATAAATTAAGCCTTTTAAAAATTCATTTAAACTTTCTCTCCAACATTCTTCTACTACTTAAAATTATTTAAAATTATTTTTGTTAGATTTTTGTTAGAATCCTTCACAGAAAATAATAGAAAATTGGATGGGACCTAATCATATGAGCTCTTCGATGCAATCATTTTAATTGAATTTTGGAAAAAATGGGAGGGGGATGGAGGTTTGTTGTTAACCGTTCAACCACTGGGTAACTGTTATCTACACAGAATTATAAATTTTAATTCAAAATTCTTTATTATGGAAAGAATTGATAGAATGTATTTAAAAGAATATTTTGTATATAATTTTGTATATTAAAAGAAAATTTTTAAAAAAATAATAATTTATTTTACATTTATCTGAAATCTTCACTTTTCTGTAAAATAAATAATCTAGTAAATTTTTGCTTCTCCATTTTTCAATCATATTTGAAGTAAAGTATTGGCCGTAAAGATAAACAATTAAAGAATTTTCCTCTTCAATACCTTTTAAATTAAATATTTTTATTCAAAAATAAATTTTATTTTTAAAATTCTTTTTAACAATTTTGTGGGAGTTGGCTAAGGTACCGCAGAGCTATAACTTTGTTCAGAATTGTTAAATCCTGGGCACCCTGGCAAGGTTCGATTAAGCTTGTAGAGGCGCATCGAATCGTATCGAATCGTATTGACAATTCTGAGCGAAATTATAGCTCAACGGTGTCCTGGGGGTGTACCCTAATTTTGTTTTTTTATTTAATTTAAATTATAAACAAACTTATTTCTCCAAAAATATCTGGCAATGAAAAACGAAAATAATTAAAACGTATATAACCAAATAATTCAATTAATTTATTAGTTGTTAATTGTGGATATTCTTTATAATAATAACTTAATAATATATTTAATTCTTCCAATTTTTTATTTGATAATAAACTTGATGTTAAATTATAAATTGTTTCTTGTAAAATAATTAAATGTTTAGAAATTATTTTATCCATTTTTTCTCCTTTACATATTAAATTTAGAGAATAATCATCCAAATTAGCTTTGTGTTTAATAAAATTCATTTTCATTGCAATTACGGCACAAGCACCCAATTTATTATTATTTAAAAGTTTTCTTCGAAGAAATACTCTAAATTTTGTAAATTTAATTTAGAATTTATTTTTTGGTAGATTTACTTAATTTCTAAATAATATTAAGAGTCTGTCTCAAAATTTCAAAAAGATTAAAAGCCATTTGGGCTAGTTTTGGCCTCCCCTCTTCCAATGTCCGATAATATGTATATACCCTTGATATATACCGAGAAATAGGTATATTTTATTAACAGAACATTAATTATTTTAGACAAAAATTAATTTTATCCTCCAAGGAATTAAAAGTATTTTTATATTAATTTTATAAAACATTTACCCTTTAAATAAATAGTTATCTTCTATTACTCTATGATAAAATATTTGTGATATAACCATTAATTTCCATTTTGAGTTTATATTATTTTCAATAATAAATTCATAATAATATTGATAAATAATTCCCTCTAATATAGTGTCTGAACTTGAGTTGAAATAAAAAATATTGTGGGCGATGAATGAAGGCATAACTTTAAATTTAAATCATAAATCAATTTCTGATTTTTATTTGTTTTTGGTTATCATTTGAGTTAGGGAAAAAATTAATTTTTAAATTAAGTATAATATTAATTAATTTAACAAATTTAATACAATATTCTATAAAAGATTCTCTTAAAATAATTTAAAAATATATTTATATGTCTAAATAAATTTATGAAAAATAATTAAATGTATTTACTACTATTTTAATAATAAAATAATTATTTTTAAATAAATTTATTTAAATAAAATACCTTCAAAAATTTTTGGAACAGAAGATACTGGTAATAATATAAATAATAATATAAAAATAAATTTCATTATTTATTTTAATTTCTAAATTATAATAATAATTTTAAGACTATGTATGTAAAAATAAATTTTAAAAATATAAAGAATCAAAAAAGCCGACAAGTGCATTTATTGAATATTTTATTCGTCTAGGTATTTAATAAAGTCCTTATATGAATAACATGTGAATAATTTCAAAATAAATTTTTAAAGGGCATATTTACAATGTATAAAGGGCAAAACGGATAAAAGTTTAGGGTAGAATCGGGGAGTTGATGGGATAATGGGCTAATAACAAGAATGGGCTCTCTTCATCTTTTTTCTGTCTCCTGCTTTTTAAAATACGGAAATGTCCAGCCCTATTACTACCCGTTTTGGCTATTTTAATTTAATCATAGTAAGTTTGGAGCAAATGTTTGGAGCATTTTGTTCTAAATTATTAAATCAAATAAATTTTCTTTAATTTTTCAATGAGGAGGCTCTTACTATCGTATAATGTTTTGTAAATTTTGGGAATCAACAAACAACAATTAATAAATATGTATCTATTATACTTTATGCTTATTTGCTTTAGAGAAATTTCAAAATTAGATCGTATTTAATGTTTAAATAAATTTCTGAATTATATTTTAGATAAAGCTAAATTTATTTATAAATTTATTTAAATTTTAATTTATTATTTTATTTATTGAATAAAAAAAAATAAAATGTGAATATTTAATTAAAAATAAAATATTAAATAAATATAAAAAGTGTTTGAATTTTATTAACAAATTTTAAAAGTTTCCATTAATATTTAAAAAAAATTTTTTTGTCCAAACACTTTTTTAAAGTTTAAAATAATTTAAAATATTTTTTAAAAAAATTTCCATATATATTTATCTACCGTATTTCCTGAAATAGTACTCCCCCCTGAATTAGCACTCCCCCCTTAAATAGTACTCCCCTTTAGAGGAGGGTTGAAAAATAGTACTCCCCCCTGAATTAGTACTCCCCCTAAAATAGCACTCCCCCCTAAAAATTTTTCTCCTATATTTGAAAAAATAAAAAGAGACTCATTGAATTATTTTATTTATTCTAAGTAGCGTTGTCGGTTTCACTTGATTCTCCGATAAACAAAACCGGAAAGCCTTCGGTTAACCGAAAACGAACTGAAATTTTAACCTAAAATTTTTCGGAGATTAAAGAAATACAATCCGGTTAATTGGTGGGGTAAAAGTGGATTTTGGGGGATATAAAGGGATTGATATCTGATGATAAAATGGGTTCTGGATTGATCAAGTAGGATTTAAAAGATATCATTGGATTAAGGTTTGATGAAGGGATTTGAGGGGAATACACACAAGATTAGTTAACCCTATGAGATTAGTTAATAGAGGGATACACACGAGACTAGTTAACCCCCTGATAAATTCCTAGACAGAGATATTTCCACTATATCCCAAAAAATTAATTGATAATCATTTTATTAATATCATTTTATTATTATTGATAATCATTTTATTATCATTTTAATATCAACTTTATCCCCTCAAATCTCACGATATCGCTTTTAATCAAAAATTACCTGGCATCCCTACTAATCCGCTAAAACGTCAATATCCTTCTCAATCCTGATAATTTTTTCGACATCCAACTTAATCTATCGATATCTCTTAATCGCTTAAAATCCCATTATACCCCTGGATATCACTCCAAATCCACTAATATCCTTTTTGCTTTCCCTCAATAACCCTATTTTAAGTCACTTGTGTTTAAAAGTCTCGCAAGTTGCTCAATTTTATACTAATTTGGAATCCACATTTCTTGAAAATCCAAATTTGGATCCGGCATTTTTCAAATTACGAACTCTAATTGATTTAAACATTTAAAATTTTGAGACAAATTTTCCTAAGATAAATCATGGAGGTAGGTTGAAAAATAATACTCCCCCCTGAATTAGTACTCCCCCCTTAAATAGTACTCCCCTTTGGAGGAGGGTTGAAAAATAGTACTCCCGGGAGTACTATTTTAGGAAATACGGTATATTTACTAGTTAATCCCCCAATTAAAATTCCAATTAAAATACTTCCAAATATTATTATTCCTCCCTTTTCTAAATCAATTTCTTCATCATATAAACAATTAACTCCATAAATAATTCCTCCACTAATTGCCCCATAAATTGAGCCAACAAACATAAATAATTTTGTTTCTTTATTTTTTTGTTGAATTATTTTTAATTTTCTCTCAAATTCCAAAATTTGAGCATTTAAATTTTCTTTCATAATTGCTTCTTCTTCTCTTTGTAAATTTTTTTGTTCTATAACAATTAAACGATGAATAGCTTCTTCTATTTTTCTTTTAATTTCAATTTCTTTAAAAAATATTATTAAAATCTATATTTTTTAAAGAATATTAACTACCTGAATCTTCTCCCATATTTTGTATTTTAATAATTAGAATTGAATTATAGCTAGAATTTTTTAATAGAAATACTGTTATTATTTAATAATTTTTTTTAAATAAATTTTTTATATAAATATTTATATAAATAAAATAATATTTAGGTAAATAATTTAAGAAAAAATTGACAATTTATTAAATTAAATTTAGATAAAAATAAATAAATTTATTATAAATATTATTAAAATATTTTTATATTTTAGCCGAAAATTAGGTAGTCTTAAAATAAAAGCAGTTAAAAAAAGGAAAGAAAATCGTTGAGCTAAGAACTATCCGTTAGATTAAGTAAATTTGATGCAATTTTAAATATAATCAATTTAAAATTAATTTTCGGCTAAAAATGCTACATTAAATTTTTGTTTTATTTAAATTTTAAGAACATTTATTAATTGCTAGAAATTAATATATTTTAGAATAAAAAAATTAAATTTTAATTTCAATTTAAATATTTTCTCAATATTTAAGTTAATTTATTTGCCGCATACCCACCAACTAAAGCACCTAGAGCTGTTGCAGCTAACAAAATTTGGCCAAAAAACGGAATCGTATAAATAAAAGAACAGCCAACAACTAAAGCACCACTACCAACAAAACCTCCAAGTGATCCTAAGAAAGTAGCAAAAGCTTTAGATTTTTTAATAGCCTCTTCAAGTTTCTTCTGTACTTTAATTTTTATTCCCTCTTGCTGTTCGATTGTAAATTCAATACCTTCCTTTAAATTTTAGATTATTAAATATTAAATAAGCATATGTATATACTTACATCCTCCACTTCTTCATCAATCATTTCAATTAATCCTTGTAAATTTCTCCTAATTGACATGATTTCTTCCTATAAAATTAATTTTTATTTAACTAATTTTAAAAATATTTTAAATTATTAGTTATTAATTTTTAACTTACTTTAGTAAAATTTGTATTTGGCGGCATTTTTAATAATTATAAATATTTTAAAAATTTGAATAATATTTAATTTCTACAAAAGAAAGAAATTTATGTGTAATTAAATTTTAAAAAAATTTGTAAAAAAATTTTAAATAACGAAAAAGCAGAAATAGTCGATCTTATTGATAAATAAAGAAATTTGTATATTAGGTATTTTGGTTTGAGTGTAAGATTTGACTGAAAATTTTAGTCTGCTATATTTTCAATTAGCTTCCATGCTACAATCCAAATGTAGAATTTTCCTTTAAAATATAATAGAATTTAGTGAGAATTTAAATTTAGGAATTGCTTTATATAATTGTAGAGACCGGCAAAATCGCACTTCCGGAATCCCGAGTCGAGATTTTTTTCTTAACCGATGCCGGGACGGAATCCCGACGGATAAATCCCGAAAAAATCCCGAATTTCAAAAATCCTGAATCTCAAAAATATCGGAGAATTCGAGATCGGGATCCCGGAAAATCCCGTCGGGATCCCGTCCCGCGCTGGTCTCTAATAATGAGAAATAAGGAAGTGTTAACATTTGATTTTTTGTTAAATTTAAAAACTATAATCGGATTATTTTTTTAAAGTTAAAACAAGTTTAAGTTTTAAAAAATTTTTAATAATTTCTTTGAATAAAATAAAAATAATTAGAAAAAGTTTTGATAAAAAATAATATTTTATTTAATTACTAAAAATAAAATTAAATAAAGATTTGAGAATAATGAAAATGATAGGTAGAGAGAATTTATTTCGAATAAATAAATTAATTTACTTTTATGTGTAAAAACATTTATCTAAACTTTATAACAACTTTTAAAATATTTTTTATATATTCCTATAAAAGTATTGGTTTTTTGTGGGGTGGACGCCAATCATTTTGGGGTGGAAGTCGTTTAAAAACTCAGATCTGATTAAGGTTTGCTCGTGAATTTTTTTGAGTTGTACATTAGTCCTACAACTTTTTATGGCGCATCTAGGAAAATTATGTCGAAGAAATTTGGGAACCCCCTTGGTACCTAAATAATATAGGTACCGGGGCTATCTTTTGAATGAGTGGAGTTAGCGGAAAAGTTCCGCTGGGAGGGCACTGAAGCATTGAATGGGGATGCTGAATGCAAAAAACTCGAAGTCGAAATTCGAATTTGAAGGGACTTACTGGTGCGCAAAAATCCGGATTTCGGTGAATTTCCCCCCCTGTCGGTAAAGTCGAAATTTTCGAAACTTATCGACAATTTACGTGTGATAGCTCAAATGAAAGCTCTCAGTGAGCTGAATTCGGGGAATTTTAGTTCAAATTTTTCGGACCACTTTGGACCGAGTTACAGTAATTTAAAGGTTCAAAATTCGGGCTTGTAAAATTGGGAAGGATGGCTCCAATCGCGAAAAGTGAATTGAAACTCGGTTTCGATATCCTATGTTATAGAGCGTCCCCTGGCGGTCCGAAAAAGGTATAATATGTCGGGGGTCCATTTGAGTCTGAAAAAGTTATGGCCAATGTTCGCAAATGTCGCGAAAATTTTTTTGGCTATAACTTTTTTGCGAAATTTTTTAAAATTTTTCTGAGACCGGAAATGGATTCAGCGCATGTCAGAGTACCATATAGGATATTTTTTGGGTCGAAATTCGAAAATTTTGTCCCCACCCCGTTCAAAATGGCCCGATGTAAAATAGGGAAGGATGGCTCCAATTGTCAAAATTTGTCGTTTCAGGTTTCTTTGAAATCCTATGTTGTAGAGCGTCCTTTGGCGGTCCCAAAAAGGTATAATATGTCGGGGGTCTGTTTGAGTCTAAAAAAGTTATGGCCAATGTTCGCAAATGTCGCAAAATTTTTTTGGCTATAACTTTTTTGAAAATTTTTATAGAATTTTTTTGACACCGGATATGGATTTAACGCATGTAAATGCACCATATAGGATATTTTTGGGTCAAAATTTGAAAATTTTTGACCCCTCGAATTTTTCAATAGGGGTACCCCTTTTGGGGGATATTAGGGATTTTTAAATTTGAAATAACTTTTTTTTGGATTAACGGAATGGGATGGGGTTTCCTTTATAAAATAGAGTCAAAAATTAGAAATTTTTTGAGCCCAAAAAATTTCGAAAAAATTCGAAATTGGAGGTGTAGGGGTCGAATTTCGAAAAACCCAAAATTTTTCGGTTTTTCGAAATTTTTTCTGAATTTTTGACGGCGGTTCGGGCCGAAGGTATTTTTCTTGGATAAAGCAGAATTTTCTGCATCTGATAAGATTTTAAAATCTTTAAAAAAGGTCTACTTTGGGCGAGATATGATTTTTTGAAAATTTTAGTGAATTTTTCAGGCAGAAATTTCCGGCCAAAAAATAATTTTTTCGAAATTCAAGATAGATATGCCGAATGAGATATCATTCGAAAGCTCTCATCGAGCTGGATATAAAAATATTTTTTTCGTAAATTTTCGGTACATTTTGACGAATGTACAGAGGTTCGAATATTTGTGGGGGTGAGTACCGTACCCGGAGAATGATGTGAGGGAGAGAGGAAAAATGATTGACAGGTGAAGTTGATGGCAGAGAGGCGAAATTTTTCTTCGTCTCTGACCATGCGGGGCAACCCAGAGAAGAGTTTAAGAGTGAATTTTGTATATTGGGGAAATTTTTGTGGGAGGATAAGCTGGATCCTGTTATGGATCCGAAGCTGGAATGCTTCGTGAAGCAGTTTCTGCTTCGAAATTTTGTTCTACTTGAAAGGATGAGTCCAATCAAGGGGAAGACGAGGGCCGAAGGCCCGAATTGACTCTAATTGAAGGATGAGTCCAGAAGTGACTCTAATTGAAAGGATGAGTTCAGAAGTGACTCTAATTGAAAGGATGAGTCCCGGAGTGACTCTAAGTGGAAGGGTGAGTTCAGAAGTGACTCTAATTGAAAGGATGAGTCCCGAAGTGACTCTAAGTGGAAGGGTGAGTCCATTCGAGGGTAAGGCGAGGGCCGAAGGCCCGAAGTGATCTAAGTGGAAGGGTGAGTCCAATAGAGAGGAAGACGAGGGCCGAAGGCCCGAAGTGACTCTAATTGAAAGGATGACCCATCTAAAAGAGAGGGCGAGGGCCGAAGGCCCGAGTTGACACCCATTTAAAAGGGAGCGCGAGGGCCGAAGGCCCGAGCTGACACCCATCTAAAAGGAAGGGCGAGGGCCGAAGGCCTGAGCAGACACCCATCTAAAGAGAAGCGAGGGCCGAAGGAAGGATGAGTCCAAACAGAGAGAACACGAGGGCCGAAGGCCGAAGGCCCGAGCTGAAACAGAGAGAACACGAGGGCCGAAGGCCGAAGGCCCGAGCTGACACCCATCTAAAAGGAAGGGCGAGGGCCGACGGCCTGAGCCAACACCCTTCTAAAAGGAAGGGCGAGGGCCGAAGGCCCGTGATTCTAATTGAAAGGATGAGTCCAATCGAGGGGAAGACGAGGGCCGAAGGCCCGAAGTGACTCTAAGTGGAAGGATGAGTCCGAATAAAGGAAAGACGGGTCTACGTGGAAGGATGAGTCCGAAGTGACTCTAAGTGAAAGGATGAGTCCGAATAAAGGAAAGGCAAGGGTCTACGTGGAAGGATGAGTCCGAAGTGACTCTAAGTGAAAGGATGAGTCCGAATAAAGGAAAGGCAAGGGTCTACGTGGAAGGATGAGTCCGAAGTGACTCTAAGTGAAAGGATTAGTCCGAATAAAAGGGAGGGCGAGGGCCGAAGGCCCGAGCTGACACCCATCTAAAAGAGAGGGCGAGGGCCGAAGGCCCGAGCTGACACCCATCTAAAAGGAAGAGCGAGGGCCGAAGGGATAAGGGATAATGTCGAAAGTCGAAGTTCGGAGTTCGAACTTCGACATCCGGTATTTTCGGGCGTGGGGGATATGGGTAAGTAGGTAGTCATTCAAGAGGGGATTATCAGGGGAGTCTTAAGGTATAAGGGATAATGTCGAAATTCGAAGTTCGGAGTTCGAACTTCGAAATCCGGGATTTAGAGTTGGTATATATTGTAGAATGAGTACTCATTCGAGCGCGAATAATGAGGGGAGATCACAAGTATATAGGATAATGTCGAAAGTCGAAGTTCGAAAGTCGAACTTCGAAACCCGGGGTTTTCGGTATTTCGAATATTGTCGAATGAATAGTCATTCGAGAGCGGGCAGTGAGGGGAGTTCAGTGGGATTAATAAAAATGTCAAATTTGAACTTTTAGAAGTCGAAGTTCGATATTCGACATTTCCGGGATTAAGTTATCACGTCCTCACTTTGTTGTAGCTGCGGAACAGTTACTCTTCCTCCGTATAATGAACACCCACCTGAATTAAAAGCTTTATTGAAAGGCGATACCAAAGTATCTAAAGAGTTCCTTTCAAACCAGAATACTTACAACACATTGTTAGCTTTCGCTTCAGTGTCCGTTGGCCATAAGGACTCATCTCATTACGGGAGTGTGTGCTTTATGCTCAACGGCGAATTTTCCCGACATATAAGTTCAATGAATTCTGGACATTTAACCCCATCCTTTTCCCAATTATATATCTTAGATGCAAATGAAGCACTTAATTTACGAACCCAAAATACTCTCTGTGGAGGAGATAGAGTTAATCCGCAAACCTTAAAAATTTTAGATTCTGTTTTAAGAAATATAAATCCATTTGCTAAGGTCTATAAAAATTTTCATTCCCAATATATGTCCGTTCTTGAAAAAGATGGGCCAGATGCTGTCAGGAACTTTCGCCTTACTATTATAGAAGAAAGAGCTGCTCCTGCCATAATTAGAGGTAAAGGATTACATCCACGACAGGTTAATCTACCTCAAGAAAAAGCCATGTTTTCAGTTTGGACTGAGTCCTCTGAACCTCCAAAAATTAAAGGAACATATATAACTGATCTCCAAGGATGTTTAT